GGGGGGGGGGGGGGGGGAACATGCACCCCCTCAATTGTGAGAGGTAGCTATGCTTGCAGGAGTCCTCTGCATAGGCTTAGGAGTAGTGTTAGGTAGAGGCGAAATTGTGAGAAGAATATAGATTAGTAACTTAGTCATATAAATAATAACAAGAATAATAAGAATAATAAAAAGCTGAACAACATTTGTCGCCGGGTCACATCGACATTCCTTGCCAAATTGACAACAAAAGAGTACAATTGGAAAACTTTTTTTTTTTTTTTCATTTCTTCGCCCAGCCGCGCAGGTGGTCCTAGGCCACTCTGCTAACGTAGGCAATTTCTCGATTTCTGTGCTGCAAACTTGCCCAGGGGTCATTATTCGGATCGAAATACAAATTCGAAAAGCGCGGCTCACATTATAAAAAAAGAGGTTTGAAAATTCGAAATACAGACTGAATCGATAGCACAACACAACTTCATCGTTTGAAACCTCAGCCAGATTTCTCCATCATCCACTGCCAACATCTTCGAGAAATTGAGTTGTGATAGACTTCCATCCGACCTTCGAGACTCTCCGGAGACTACAGCCCAACAATCTGCATCATCCACTGCCGATATCATCAGGCAACGATCTTTGTTGACAGCGACTAGTGCTAGGCGGGCGACAACACAACCACCTCCCTCAAAGATTTGACCCATCAATTTAGCTGGCCATCGGTCGATTCATCCATCCGTCTGTTATGTGCCGGACTAAAACGAAATCCAAGATGTCATCCACGCGTTCCCATACACATGTGCAACGACAAGTGGGATTGGGGAGAGCACTCCACGCCAAACCAGATGCGGAAAATACACAGCAGAAGCACACAAATACGCAAAATAGAATTGAATTGAAATGAAAATCAATTCTAATTACCGTCTCTTCCCAATTCAGTCAGCAACACGAATTTTCCCAAGAATCCCAACCACGTTATCAACACCCACAGACCAATGATTTACAAAGTTTCATCGAAGTATCCAGGGGTCTTCTTCTTCCTCCCACTATCCCCGAGCTTGAGCTATGGCGCCGCTTCCATTTTCAGCACCCGACCAGACAAGTCTACAAATGCCACACACCCTCCTGAAGTCAACATGTCAATCTGCACCACTCATGAAGCCCAGCTGCAGATGATGTGTCCACTCAGCAGGGGAGCGTAGCTCTCAGGATGATGAAGAAGAACAACTGGATGAAGATGGAGGCCTGCCACATCGAAGAAGACTTCAAAGAGCTTCTTCGCGGCAGCTGACACAACGACAACAGCACACCAGTATGGGGAAGCGCTCATCAGTAGTTGGGCGCCGAGCCCAGCGCTGTCACCAATGGAGCTGGCAGGCCCCAGCTATGGCCACCAGCAGCATCTGGAGAAGCTGCCCTGCGTACATGCCCACAGTAGTGCAGCAAGGAAGCAATGCGACCTCCACCAAGACCGTGACAAGAAAAAGCAACCACCTGGCTGCTAACCTATCAACACTTTGACCTCAACCTCAGCCTAGGGCAGACCGAAAAGCAGCAGAAAAAGACAAAAAGACAAGTCCTAATGGTCTAGGCCTACCCGAAAGAGAGGGGTCCCAGTAGGGGACAGGTCCAGGGATCGAGCCCAGTGGAGCTCAAAATATTACAAACCCAATCTACTTAGTTATGCAGTCCGCTGGGAATCACCAGTTTATTTCATTTTTACATGTGTTATAAACCGGGCCGCCCAGCCGGGCAAGGACCAGGGAAGGTCCCTGTACAAAATATATATATATTGTCACAGAACTATTGACTAAGAGCATGAGCATGTGAAGTAGAAKAAGAAAYAAGAYGAGCAAAGAAAAGRAAAAKGRAAGGAAAGACAGGCAAAGAGACAGACAAACCAGAATGACACTTTGTTTCACAGTATTATTATTTCTTTCAGTCTTTTACAAAAATTATTTACACTGAATCAAAGGAT